CAGATCTCTTGTTATTCCCTTGTCCCTGAGTTTGTTGGCTAAACCCTCCCTTTCCCCCATCTCCAACTCTCTCCTATCTGCCCAGAACTGTCAGCCCTGTTGTTTTCTCCTTGGGATTGTTTATCTGGCCTATCTTATATAGATAGACATGAAAAAAAGAAAAGAAAAAAATAGCTTATAAATACTTCCAGGTCTCTCTGCTGAGCTGGATTTTGTTGTGTAGGTTTTGCTCTTGTTTTTTATGTTTATCTGTACAGGGAAACTGGGATGGATGGATTTCTGAAGGCAGGAGCTGGGTTAATGATGGCCTCGGGGTGTGGAAGGGGAGTGTGGGGTAAGTTGGGTGTCAGCACCAATAGCCTATGAAGAAAGGAAAGGCTCCAAAGTTGACTCTGGCAATGATTGCCCTGCTTGTCTTGATATGACTTAACTATTGAATTGTATTATGTTAATTATAGCTCAATAAAATTTTTTAAAAGTATTTGAAGTATTTGAGCATGAGGGAAACACTACCACCTAAACTATAGAAATCTCATCAGAGATAATAATAATAATAATAAAGAAGGTTCTGAGGATTTGAGGTCAACACATCCTCAGCCTTGACGGGTTACCAGTCAGGCTGATAGCCATAAAGTCAACAGCTCAAATCCAACAGTTGATGCTCAGGTGAAACTTGAGGCTTTAGGCTCCCATAGAGATTTATAGCCTCAAAAATCCAAAGGGGGCAATTCTACTCTATTCTATAGGATCACTATGAATTGGAATCGACTCCATGACAGTGAGCTATATTTTGTTTTAATGTGTATTGATTAGAGTTCTTTGATTTCTAAGGGACACACACAAACACATGCTAAATTGGTTTAGAAAAAAAATTAAAAAGAGAGATATTATAAGAGCCAAAGGGTTTAAATAAGCCAGGCTTTAAGCAGTTGACCAAAGACCTACTGTCATTGCTGTGTTGTGCTGTCAAATTGATTCCAACTCAGAGTGGCCTGATGTGACAAAATATTTTTCTTGTTGGTGTTATTGAGTCCATTTTGATGCATCCCAACCCTGTGCATACAGAAGGAAACAGTCCCTGGTCTTGAGCCGCCCTCACACCTCTACCTGTGCTGCACCCCGAAACTCCCGAGTTTGAAACCTCCAGCAGTTTCATGGGAGAAAGATGGGGATGCTGCTCCAGTAAAGAAGTGCAATCTCAGAAACCCTAAGGTGAAGTTCTAACATGTCCTGTAGGTAGCTATGAGTTCACACCAACTCTATGGCAATGTTTTGTTGTTTTTGTTGTTTTTCATCTCATCTTTGCTAGCCTGACTAGGTTTTTTGTTTGTTTGTATTTACCATTACTGAAGGACAGCTAAGTATTTATTATGACTCTTCTAGCTACCATTGTATCTGTAACTTCCACCAAACATCTTTGCCCTAATAGGTCAAAATAAGAAGGTTGGGGAAGATGTTTATTTCCATCTTGTTGCATATAAAGTGTATGAGAAGGATGTGTATTTTATGATCAGCAAGAGCCAGGAGTTGAGTGCCTCCTTTGGACTCCAACATGCCTGCCCAGTGAACCTCTTTGATCCGGGAGACAGCTTCGACACCAGAGGAGTGGAGTAGTGGAGCTGCAGTAGGTAGAGGAGCTGTCACAGCAGAACCGGGAGCCTGGACCCAGAGCTTGAGGCAGAGCGATGGACTTCTCAGCCTAAAGAGCAATTAATTACAGCTGAGTTAGTAAGGGCAGGAAGCTGGATTATGGAAGGGGATGCCTCTGAGTACTTAATTCAGGGGGCTGTGTTTGCTGACCGACAGAGTTGGAGCTTGTGGGTTGCAGCTGGCATCAGAGTGGTGTGCCCTTTGGGGTACTCAGTAACGCTATAAAATAAGTGTGTACCATGTACTGATTGAACAAGTGTATTCTGGGCATTTCTCACCTGCACTGTAGCATATTAACTTCCACAATAAACTCCATAATCATGGGCATTGTCTGTGAGTTCTGTATGGTCATTGCAATGAATTATAAAACCTCTCTAAAATTAGAGAGTACCGTAGTAGACAGAGAAATTAAAGTGGAACATCTTGTGTGAGACAGAACAATCACCAAATTAGGAAGATGTTAGGAACCAATCAAACTCCTTTCTCCATTGAACATTTTTGTGCATTAAGATGAAGGGTTCGATGAGGAGCCACAGCAGTTCCAATGTTACGGGTAGGCCATTGAAGCTCCAGAATAAACTGGAAGAATCTACTAACTCTCTCCGATCTGCTCGTTCATCTCAGCTTCTTGGCTAGTTCTTCAATACTCTAAGCTCCTGCCCCAGGGCCTATAACAGCCCTTTGCCTTCTGCAAGGCGTTCTTCTTCCCCGAGACGCAAGCACATGGTTGATACCCGCCCTTCACCCGGGCCTTTCCTCAAAAGTCTGCTCTTCAGAGGGGCCTCCTCAAACATGCTCTCTGAACTAGCACCTCTGCCACTTACCATCCCTTTAATGGTCTACTTTTTTCAATAACATTTTCATAATATGGCATTTTATATACTTAGTTGATTATATCTTTTTTGAACTACAATACTAGAATAGAAACTTATAGCCCCAGAGACATGGCCTTCATTCACTGCTAAATCACTGAAACGCTGCCTGGCACACAGTTGTTGCTGTTGTTGGTAGATGCTGTTGAGAGATTTCAACCCATAGTAGCCCCATGGAACTGAGCAGAACGCTCCATGGGGTTTTCTGGGCTGTAATCTTTATGGGAGTAGACTGCCAGGTTTTTCTCTTGCCACTGCCTAGGTTCTAATCACCAACCTTTTCATTAACAGCCAAGAACTGCATCATTTGTGAAACCAGTGTACTTTCATGTTTGAAAAAGTGCCTGAAGCATCCCATAACAAACCAAGGGCCATTGAGGCAATTCTGACCCGTAGTGACTCTATACACAGTTTCCAAGAACATAAATCAAATTCTTTATGGAACATGGGAGCAGATGTCCTACCCTTTCTCCCATAGAGAAATGGGTGTATTTGAACCTCTAACATCATGGTTATCAGCCCAACTCCCAATGCACAGTACCACCAGGGCTCCTTGGCTGACTCATAGTGGTTTCTGATAATAATTATCCCCCAAGTGATTTTGTTTGACATTAAAATGGTCTTGATATGTTCAATGGCTCTTGTGTCCAAAGAGACAGAAGCAAACCTAACAAACAGATGCCCCAAATTCCCTCCATCATTGCTTTTTCTAATAGTTATTAGAATGATACATTAGATGTGATCTGGAGTAAAAAGTTTAAGAAGAGTCAAACCCGTTCCAATCAAGTCTATGTCTCTTCACAGTGACCCTACAGGACAGAGTAGAAATGCCCCGTAGGGCTTCCAAGCTGTAGTATGGAGTTGCTGAGGGTCTTGACCCACCAATCTTTGGTTAGCAATTGAATGCTTAATCACTGCACCACCAGGGCTATGGCTAAAAAGGAATGTTCTTTTCTATTTAAGCAAATTCTCATGGACCTCTAACTCCCACTTTAACTGAGAGCAGCATATAAAATGAGAATGACCATTATTCTTTCAAGAGTACCCCACAAAACACACACACACACACACACACACACACACACACACACACACACAATCAGTAGACCATGCCCTTGTAATGCTATGCAACTTCACTATGCATTTCTAGCCTATTTCCCTTCCAATATTAATTAGATTATCCTTCTCCTATAAAATGTTTAAAAACACCACCTTTGGGGAAAAAAATAGAAGCACTTGATTCACATGGGCATTAGGAAGCTGTTTCAAGACTCAATCATATTTGTAACAGGAAAGGCCACTCAAGTGTAGGGGTGGACAAGTTCTGCTGTGGTTCACTGTATGAAAAATATTGGCAAGGGTGCAGTAGAGATAACAAGAGATTAGTGAAGGAGAGGAGAAAAATTCAAGGGGTAGCTAAGAACCAAGATTATGAGGTGAGTGAAGGACTGAAGGAGTATCCTACCTATGAATGTTATTTTCACCTTCAGCTCTGCATGTCATAACCTCTCTCGAGGAGCCTGCTCCTGGTGACCCCATGCCGGTCTGCTCTGTCAATTTCCTACCAGATGAGTAATGACACACGTGGCTCCTTTGCTTCGAGTTTGTATGGGGTTTAGGTTGGGAAGACCACCCCACTGTGTTCATATTCTGTTTACCTGCAACACCACTCTATGGTGTTCTGTGGAAGAACCTTTGAAAAGTAGAATGATAGGAAATGAGAGCTCTTCCTCACCTTGAATCACATATCATGGGCTGAAATTAGATCCCACCCACTGGGAAGAGAGCGAGCCTGTGCCACCCAACAAAGCTTAGCCCCATTGGCTCATCCAAAGCCTCACATCCCTGCCCCCTGGGCTTTGGCACCAGGGGTCCCCGGCTGTGCCCATGATGAAAGCACTGTGGCAAGCTTGCTCTGAGGCAAAGACAGACTGCTTTTAATTAGAAGCAGGAGCTGTTGTTAGATTTGTGTTTTTCTCTTTTTTCTATTGCTTGATGGTATGATGTGTGTTACATATTTAATTAAACAGGATCTAATGAGTACTCCTAACAGCCTCAGGGTCAAGAAAGCCACCGCAGAGCTTCATGCAAATGAGCCAGGGTTTATCACTTCCCTGGTGAGCAGCACTGATGTCCAAAATGGCAGAGTCAGTGGGAGGCCACCAGCCTTCTAACTTCCACAGGAAAATCCAAAGGGAGGCAAACAAAGAGGTAAGGATTAGACACTGCAGGCTTTGTGTGTGAACCTAGAAATAAGTCTAGCCATATCATGGAGGGATAGCTGATGTTATAAAATAAGGCCCGGGGGTCCTCTGGGGCAATGATCAAGGGCAGAGGGAAACCCAGGAGGATAAATACTTCAGGAACACACTTTGAGAACTAGGAAAGTGAAACAGACAAAGGGTGAAGGAAGGACAGAAAAAGGGAAAATGTGGGGAAGTTTTATTCTATGGGAAATGTATGGTTACTTTTTTTCCTCAGGGGATAGCGTGAACGCAGTCCCCCACTACCACAAATTATGCAGTCAAGTTTCCCACATTTGGGGAAATCGCAGGGTCAGCAGACCCGGGGTGCAATGGGTGAGCCTCGTCCTGGGAAAACCACCTTCGTGATCACGGTGTCTCCGCTGGCAGGTCAGTATTGTTGAATTATTTGGGTATTGCTTTCTTCACCCTGGAGTCTTTGTGTGGTGAAAATGTGAGGCAACAATTGGAAAGGTCTACTCAGAGGCAGCTCGAAAGAAAAGTTAGACAATCGGCTTCTATTAAAATGCAGTTATTGAAAACTCTCTGGAACGCAGGTGCACTCTAACACACATGGGCTCTCTATGAGACAGAATAGACAAGATAGCAACATTCACCCTCTCATTGTGCTTTAATCTTATATCCGTGATAGCACTTGCCTTGATATTTAGCTACAGACATCATCATCTGTCCACTAGACTCCGAATTGACTCCCGCAGACACTTTTGACTTATCTATTCTCCTGTTGCCTACTAACCTTCTTCCATGAGAGCTGGTATTCCAATAGAATTGTCTATTGAGTTTCTATCGAACATTTGGAGAGTTGTTTCAGTACAGAGATTTAGAGATTTAGAGGAGTTATTCTTGTCATATTATTTTTTATCTTATTTGTGTCTATATTCCTAGCATCTAGCATCTAGTACACCCTCAATAAAGTATCAGTTGGTGAATAAGTTAATTGAGTAATAAATAAACACATGAGTCAACTCAGTTTAAATTTAGGCCAATTTCATGATATTATTAAACGAACCAGACTGAACATTTGCCACAGGAAGCACTAATGAATGCTTAGGAGCCCTTGTGTTGTAGTAGTTATCCACTGAGCTTCAATCCATGTGGTTGGCATTTCAAAACCACCAGCAGCCCCACAGGAGAGTGACTGGGTTGTTCTACTCCCTTATGGAACCACAGTCTCAGCAGCCCACAAAGGTGTGGGGGGGGGGGTGTCACTATGAGTCAGCACTAATTTGATGACAGTGAGTTTGAGTTAGTGTTTCAAAGAGTGTGCAACACTGACTCTTAATGTGTGTGTGTGTGTGTGTGTGTGTGTGTCGGCTGGACTGATCAAGGGGGCTGCGGAAGCAGATACATTCATTTTATCTTGTATTGTGGGCTATAGTACAAAAGTTTCTATTGGCCAAGGGGGTGTTAAGTAATTTTTATTCTGAAAAGGGGGCAGTAAGTCACATAGGTTTTAGAAACTATGCTTTCAGATTTTAGTGAAGGTCAACTACTTTGGCAAATGAGGAGTGATGCTATATTGCAACTTATACAAGAAGAGTTCTTTAAAACCCTTCTTAATTTGTTTGTTTCCTTGAGAAGTGTGAACTTTCCTACATGGAGATACGTCAGTGTTCTGATAAAATATCAACAAAATGCTCTGATAAATGCCTTTTGTTGTTGAAAGACAAATTTTAGAAATAAATTTATTGTTCTAAAAGTAACATATTTTGAACACTAAATATTGATTTTTTTTGTCCTTTAAATGTGCCCAATATTTTTCTTATTGGTTTATATGTGTAATATGAAGCACCATGTCCTGCATAACATGTAATAAAGAAACAATTTGTTGTAAAAAGGTAAAAGGAGAGAGAGAATAATCGAAGATGACTGTGTGGTCATAACTTCTGTGAAATATTCTGCAAAGAAACTTCTAAAAAAGTGGATGAGACTCAGTTGCCTGAGTTCTGGCCTCCCCTGAGGACCAGAAACCTCTGCCAATTACTCGTTCAAGTTTCAGAGAGAGGAAATGACATAAAGAGTTCCCTAAAAATCTGAGAATTTTGTGCTGTCCAGCAGGATGCCTACAGAGCTTCCCCTCCCCAGGACCACAGATGAGAGGGGTCTGGGGCAAGCTCAGAGACCTGAGGTCAGAGTCAAAGAGCTGATGCCTCTGTTCCACACCTGCACCTAACTAGCACTGTGGAGGACACTAAAGCTTCTCCCCCAATATACTTGGGTTGAGGACTACCTGCACTCTGGTGGGATGGGGGAGATTCAGATCAATTAGTGGCTGATTCTCAATGCCTGGCTGGAACTCTTGGGGGACCAGACTGTGACAGAACACCAATGGGATGAGTCCACCTTTAGGGAGTGCATAATTTGGTGGACTTGTGTCCAAGAGAAAATCAGTATGAGAGAGCTTGAGCATCTCTTCTTAGACTCAGGATTGAAAGTCGTATCACCTGCCTATTGTCCCACACCCAAATAGACTCTTGGCACCTGCTCTGATATAGAATCAGTGAGTATAGTTTGAGCAGGTACATGGCAGTGTTTTAGAGATTATGTCCTCTTCCCTTTCACATTGGTTGTGTTTATCATTGCCTAGCATCCCCTCAGGACCTGAGAGCCAACCCCGATACTAGGATTTTAACAGGTGCAACAGTTATTTCCTGTCTCTGGTTCCTGTTGGTATTGAGCTAATGTCAAACTGCCTGGTCACTCTTGACTCTCTAGGAACTACAATAAGGAGTTGGGGATTGCTTTGTGGTCAGAGAAAGCATATATAAATAAATAGAATATCTTGAAAGCATCACCCATCAATTTCTGCACATATCTGGAAACAAGAGAACACAGCTCAGTTGACTAGAATACATACAGATGTGGACCAGGGGGAGCTCTTAGAGGAGAAGAAAGTTTCAGATCCTTCCATGAGGGAGTTTAGGATGATGATATTCAGCTGCTTTAAGTACTTTAAGGAAAAACTTAATCGAAATACAGAATAAAAAATCAGAAGAGAAGAGGAGATAAAAGAACCCAGGAAATCACTACAAGACCAATCTAACAAAATGAATGAAAAACTAGAAATGATCCAACAACATTTCAAAAGGAATTCAAAAGGCAAACCCTGAAATAAATGAACAAAACAGGACCAGAAGAATAGAATCCAGTATCAGTGTTCTTGAAGACAAATCTTTTGAGATAAAAATACAAGAAAATCAAGCCATTAAAAAAAAAGTCAAAAAGACTAAATAAAACTGAAAAAAAAAATTTTGGACACTATCAAAAGAAATACTTTATGTTTAATAAACATCTCAGAACAGAAAGAAGAAATATTAACTCCAGATGAAATAGTTGACAAAATATTAAAGAGGAACTTCCCTAATATTATAACATTGAGAACTATTTAAGAAGTCAGAAAACTCCAAACAGAATTGATCCCAAAGGAAAATCACCAAGTCACATCATAATAAAAATAGACCAATATCCCCAATAAACATCAAAATTAATCAATAAAATTCTAGCCAGTAGAGTTCAAGAAAACATCCAGAAAAAGTGCATCATGATCAAAGAAGGATTCATATCAGGTTTGCAAGGACGACTTCACAGTAGAAAAAAAAATCAGTGTAATCCGCTACATAAACAAAATGAAAGAACCATACGGTTACATCAATCAATGCAGACAAAGTAATAGTTGATAAAATTCAACATTCAGTAGTTGATAAAATAAAAGTTGGTGAAATTCAACATCCATTCTTGACAAAGTAAATTACTTAATAAAATAGGAATAGAATGGAAATTCCTCAACATAATAAAGGTTATATATGCAAAACCTATGGATAGTATCTCACTTACCGGAGAGAGATTGAAAGCATTCCCCCTAGTACTCTTATTTTATATAGTCCTATGAGTCTTAGCCAGAGCTTTAAGACATCAAAAAGCTATTAAAGTTATCCACATTGGCAAAGAAAAACAAAACTCCCTTTATTTGAAGATGATATAATCCTCTGTGTAGAAAATCCTAAAGAGTCAATTAAAAATGACTAGAACTAATTGAAAGTTTGGTAATGTTGTAGGCTTCAAAATCAATATGACTTTAAAAAGGAAACTAAATGAACAATATTATTTAAACTTCCCCAAAGGTAAAATATTTAGGAATAAATCTTAAAACATTTCTACCAGAAACTAAAAGAGACTTACACAAATGGAAGAATGCCCCATGTTCTTGGGTAGGAAGACTTAATATAGTGAAAATGACAATATTATCAAAAGCACTCTTTACATCCAATGCGATTCCAATAAAAATGTCAGTTCAGCACAATTCTTCCGAGAAATGAAAATAAAACAAAACAAAAAAACAATCATCGACCCATTGCCCTGCAGGGGACACCAGAGACACATTGTGGGAATTGCACCTGATCTGATCCCGCCACACTGACGCAAAGCACTGGGGGAGTGCAGCGGAACAGCAGGGGAGGGGAGCAGCAAGATCCCCAGGGAATGATGAGGGTGGATTTTGTGGCCAGGGCATGGTGCCCCAACAGACTGGACTGGAAAACACTCCTAAAGTCCAGTGATCCTTGAACTAACTACAAGCTTTTCTTTCTTGTTGTGTTTTAATTTGTTCTTTGCCAGTGG